CAGAGTTCCTCAGTTGCAGATTCAGGTCAAACAAGAAGATGATAGCTAATGTCTCTTGTAGCAAATTGACAGAGAGTTGCTAACAGTCTACAGGGATAGAATTCCATGTTGCCACATGCCCTGAAGCTGTACCTTCCTATAGGTTCATCTCCCCACTAACAGAAAGAAAGAGACTATTTCACTTTGACATCTGTAACCTTAGTGTTTAGCACAGTTCCTGGCATACAGTAAGTGCTCAATAAATGCTTTCCTTTTCATTCATTCACGGCAATTAACAAATGGACTGAATATTTACCCACACTCAATAAATACATGAAAATATGCAAAGATACATATATAGCAAGGAAACAAAATTTTCCTATACAAATATAATTCATAAGATATCCAAATAAAATATAATGAAAAATTTCAAATATGAGAAACAGACTGAGAATTTACATAGGTAAAGAACCAAACGATCTTCAGTTTTATCAGTATAAGGCATTCCTGATATGGGAACTGCTTCTCCTAACACAGATCATAAGCTGAGACTTGGAAAATCACATAGATTTATAGCTGGAAGGGACCATAGAGACCACCTATCTAGTGTAACTCTCTTGTTTCAGAGGAGGAAACTGAGGCCAAAAAGGTGAAATGATTTGTCTATGCAGTGACAGGGTTAGGATTTGAGTCCAAGTCTTCCTGAATCAAAGCTTGCAATACAAGGCTGCCACTAAAAGAATTTCAATAAAATTAAAAGAAAATCCTAAGGTTTATCATCTTGACACTTTGAACTTTAACAGGGTCATTCCCAAGTATTCTTTTACTTGATAGCACAAAGGTGGGGGCAGCTAGGTGGCACAATGGATAGAGCTCAGGCCTTGGAGTCAGGAGGACCTGAGTTTAAATCCGGCCTCAGACACTCAATACTTACTAGCTGTGTGACCCTGGGCAAGTCACTTAACCCCAACTACCTCACCAAAAAGCCAAAATAAAAAATTTGATAACACAAAGGTAGACTGAATAGAACATAAGTTTGTTTCTCAATAGAATCTCTAGAACCAATATATTCTAGAGGGAAAAAAGACAATCTGCCAAGAAAAGCAGTATGGTGTCAGTTACCTTCTATTACTAAAATAAAAAGGGCCACATTTAAACTAAAACTAACTCATCAATATTTTTATGTGTAAACTATAACAATGTATTCTTCACTAAGAATAATCCATTCAACAAACCTAGTAGCAGTAGAAGCACAGAAACAATGGGAAAAGTAGAACAATTTAAATCAATTACTGACATCGAAGATTCAGACTTGGCAGCTAGGTGGTAGAATACTGAGCCTGAAGTCAGAAAGACCTAAATTCAAATATGATCTCAGACACTTAGCTGTATGATGCTGGGCAAGGCACCTAATCCCTATTTGCCTCCGTTCCTCATCTGTAAAATGGGGACACACTGGAAAAGGAAACAACGAACTCCTCCACTATCTTTGCCAAGAAAACCAGATTTAGACACAACTGAATGAGTGAACAACAACAAAAGGTTCAGACTTAGATTCATGTCTCTTCTCCCTGAAACAAAAAAGCTTTTTGAAGGTATTAAGTTAACTATAGTTTCATCATCCTGTGAAATAATAGTGGGTGAAAAGATGAAGCTTTATGATTTAAAGGTTAGTGTTATTTGATTACATGTACTACCAACCATAATTAGCTCAAATGCACTGAGCATTTAAAATCTGGAATGAAAATACCAATGCTCCTTCTTAAAGTGTATTTACATGGCATGCAACCTGCTCAGCACTGAGGAACTGAACATAAATTAAAATCTCAAACTCAATGCTAAACTATAACAAACTTGGAGAGTTTCATTTTCTGTTTCCTTGTCTTATTCATGTGGCAGGTAGGATGGGCTCCTCTAAAAGGAGCATATTTCATTTCATTCATTAAGCTAGACAACTTGTTTAGTTAGGCAGGCCTACATTTTATGGTCTATGTAGTCACCTAATGGTCAATTTCAGTAACTGCAGTAAATAGTGCTGTCAGAAACATAAAATCCCAGGAGACTGGGCTCCCGAGGTGGCATTCTCTTCCTCTCTTTGGCCTAAAAAGCTACTTTCCTTCTGTATTAATATTGAATTCCACCTGGGTCTCTATAGAACGCTTTTTTTTAAACTGCTGAATACACTATAATGAGAGAAATCTTAAACAAGAAAATTGGTCTTAGATGACGTGCTGACGTTCTTCCGTGCTCTGGCTGTTTTTCATACTGTGGGTTTTTTCGTCAGTAATTACAGTCTTGTGAAGTAGGCTTACATTAGAGCTGGCACAGCTCCATATGTGCTGAGAAACATGTTCAATTAGGTTGTTGCCATGCACATAAAGAACTGCTATTTGGTACCATATCTATAGGGGCTTTGGCAAATGGTTTTCAATTTGCTCATGCTGTCTACACTATCAGGATTATTTCCTCAGTGACTCCATGTTTCTGATCTTGGTTGGAATGTGGTTTTAGTAAAGGGTTTTTTTCCAACCTGCTTGTGGTTTTGTTTTGTTTTTGTTTTTTGTTTTTCTTTCAGATTGCTTTGGGATAATCTGAGGTCCACTGCTACCGCAAATAATTTCCTTGGGGAAGGAAGTTTCCATATTTTAAATTTTAAAAGTTCCATTGATTTTATATAAGGCCAGTTACTTCCTTTGATAAAAGGAAAAAAATTACTCTATGGCTTTGAATCTAGCCTTAATTACTAGTCTTTCGAACAAACATGCTTAGCTTAGACACTTCACTGTGGAAAAAATCCTGACTTCCGTTAGGAGTAGTCTTAGAAATACACATGGCTTGAAAGAAGAAATATGAGAAGATAGCTGACTCCTTTACCCAGGTTGTAAAGTGTGCATATTTACATTTTTCTATGTACTGATCAGTTATGCTGATTTTTTTATCTTCTTTTTCTTTTTTGTCTTTAAAAATGCTATTTATAATACATATATAGGATGCTATATAGAGATCCATCCTACATAGGATGGTTCTCTGGAAGGGGGAGGGATACTGGGGGAAACTATGGTGATGTAAAAAACAAAAAAAAATTTAATAAAAACTTTTCTTAAAAGATGATTCTTAGATGTTTATGTTTATTTTATATTCAGTGTGCTTAGACATATGTAAGTAATTTTATCAAGAATCTTCCTAAGATGATTAAATTAATGTGACAGACTTGTGAGCTATGTGGCCATGTACAGGTCACATCCTTTCAGTGGTCTAAGGAGCTCCCAGGGAATGTAAGTGGTAGAGATGGTGTTGGCTTGCATTGGTAGAGTTTCCTCGACTCAGAATCCCCTATACCAATGAAATCATAGGTCCAGAACCCAGTCCTAGCCTTATCCACAACTAGAATTGATTGAATGTGGTCCTCATCCATAAAATTTATAGATAGTCTGTAAAGAGATCCCAAGTCAAACATCTTTACAAAATGATGTAAAATATCACGTATGTTCTTATTCTTACAAGTATAATTTGTTATAAAAAAATAATTATATCTGCCTGCACTAGAACCAGGCTTGAAACACAACTAAAATATAATTCAATTTGATTCAACAAGCATGTATTAAACGTTTCCTATGTCAGGCATTGCATCAGGTGCTTCTCAAGAAGCTTAGTCTACTAGATGGAAACAACATGTACATACAGAAGTAATTACAAAGTAAATACAGAGTATTTTCAGAGAAGAGAGGATGGCACCAACAATTAGGGAACAGGAAAGGCCTCTTCTTAGAGGTGGCATTTGATTTGAAACGAATGGAGCTAGGGATTCCAAATAGTGGGGGTTAAAACAGACAGCACTTTCTGCATGGAGAGCAATGCTACCAATATTGCTTTCTCTCAGGATAGGGGCTATATTGTTAATACCTTAAATAGAAGGAGAGGACATTATAAAATGTCTATTTGAGTAAAGACTGCCAAACATCACAGTAAGCCTAAAAACTACCAGAAAGAAAATGACATGGTGTATAATTCAGTCTTTTTTCAGGAAGTAAGAAATTGACCCTTTTGAGATGCAACCAAATACAATATGGTAAAGCTTACAGGTGTGTTTACTCTGCAGTTTGTGAAATTATTTTCTCAATATTTTGAAAACTGTATTACAATATAATTGGTTTCCTTTGTAATTCTATGTATTTTATTTTGTGCATTTAAAAACATTATTTTGAGGAGAGGTTCATAGGTTTTATCAGACTCCAAAAGGAGTCGACACAAAACCAATTAATAACCACTGTGATATTATTGGTGTTGTTCAGCAGTGTGGACTCTTCATGACCCCATTTGGGATTTTCTTGGCAAAGGTACTAGAGTGATGAGGAAACTGAGGCAAATCAGGTTAAGTGACTTGCCCAGAGGGGCGGCTAGGTGGCGCAGTGGATAGAGCACCGGCCCTGAGGTCAGGAGGATCTGAGTTCAAATCCAGCCTCAGATCAAACACTTGACACTTACTAGCTGTGTGACCCCGGGCAAGTCACTTAACCCCAACTGCCCCCCAAAAAAAGTGACTTTCCCAGGGCCACACAGCTAATAAGTGTCTAAGGCCATATTTGAACTTAGGAAGATGAGTCTTCCTGACTCTAGGACTAGCACTCTATCCACCGCACCCCCTAGCTGCCCCAACCACTCTATTAGAGTCAAATTATTAGGCCATTCAAAAGTATAACTTTGTTCTTTTTCCCTTTGAGTGTGAAACTATTCAAACAGATGCTGAAAAGCTGCTGCCTGTGAGCCTGTGCTCTTGTCTGAGTAGAACCTCTGAAGGCCAAATAAAATCTTATGCTTTTAATCAGATAGCATTTCACGATTACAAGACGTCCATTCTCCCCTCCTAGATACCCCCATCCTTCCACTCCCAACACAGACAATAAAATTGTGTATTTGGCAAAGATTTTTGGTTACTTTCATTGCTTCTGGTCCCAAGAAAGTTAAGATGAGAATTTCATATGATTCTGAAAAGTCAAAAGCACAAACGAGTATTTCCTTACCTTGTAAGATGGCAAGAAGCACAAAATCCCTTGGCTCACTGTTTGGCATACGGACAAGAGAAGTGCTCCAACTTCATCCTGGAATGCAAAGGTCTCTGCGTGCTGGAAGGTGGCACAGAGATTACGGCCCTTGGGGCCTGACCCAATAGTGCCAACCCAAACCTATCACGTGAAAAATTCAGCATTAGAAGTATGCTTAAACCAGACAGGCAAATAAGCACTTCTTTAAATTTTATTTTTAATTTATGGAATAAAACAAGCATTTCCATAGTAAAAAAAGATGACTGCACATGAAACTGCAAATCTATTATGTACAAATTGCTATTACTTCTAAATATTCTTTCTAAAATTATCAGGTAAATTTTTTCCCTCCCCCCTCACCAATCCTAGAGATGGCTACCATTAGATACAAATATGTATGTGCATCTATATGTATAGATATATAGATAAAAAATATATGTAAAAGCACTTATTAATATAGCTTAAGAAATGATCAGTGGGCCGAAAGGAAATCAAGCAGTACCTCTATAAGAAATTTACCTAAAATATGCTGAGTTTATCAGCTCCACATTAGACTGATGGAAGAAATTGAGTTTAAGATTGTGCGCTGTCTTGGAGAGAGTGGTGAGGAGGAAGGGGGAGAAAAATTTTAAACCCAAAAGCATATGGAAGTGATTGTTGATAAATCAAAATAAATTAATTTAAAAAAAGAAATTGAGCTTACAGAAGTTTTCTGAGTTTGTGTAGCTTTAGGCAAAGTTTATAATCTTAAGGATGTTACCTCCCTGAGCACAGAAGCTACGTAACTTTTTATTTATTGCCTAAGACTTTGCAATACCTTGCATATAGTAGATGTTCAACAAATATCTGACATACAAATGATAATGAATGAATGAATCACAGGCTGAGTCATAGCATCATAAAATTTAGTTTGGAAGAGCCTTCTGAGACTAGCCAATTCAGAAGTTCTTAATCTGGGGCCCATGAACTTGTTTTCTCAATATCTTAATAAATGTATCTCAACGTAACTGGTTTCCTTTGCAATCCTATGCGTGTTATTTTATGTATTTAAAAACATTATTCTGTGAAGGGGTCCATGAACTCCATCAGACTGCCAAAGAGATCCAGGATCCAGTCCAATCCAGACCCCAAAAAAGACTTTCCACTATAACATATCCAATAAGAGGTTGTCCATTCTGTCTACCTGACAACAGGAGAATTAGATGAAACCAGATTACTTGGCGAGTGCTTTGCTACAACTGGTCTACATGATTCCAAATGACAGGTACTATTACTTCCACTTCCCTCACAATAGAAAATCTGTGCCGACCAGTCATGAGGAATTAGTACCACTATACATTCTAAGTCTCTTCCAAGTCCACTGTAGTCTCATATACCTAGCCTCAGTCTTCTGAAACAGAAAGAAGGAATGGTATTGAGAGCTAATATGAGCAGAAACAAGGAAAATTTTGCAGTTTATTGAAAATCTAATGGTCATGAAAATATTTTGAAAGCCTTTTCAAGGACAGCTTAAACCTAAATGATTTTCATGCTAGACACATAAAAGCTGATGCTCCACAAAGCCGCAGTCACTCAGCTCATTCCAGTAACCACCATAGGGTTTTGTTCTTACCATCTATCTGAATATACTTGTAAGTATAGCTCTACATTAGAGTATCTGTATTTCTAGAGTTCAGGTACATCTGTTTATATATATTTGAGGACCCCCCATTTATAAATACCCATGGATATAATATGAATAGCCTAGGCACATTATTTTCTTGCTTCATATCAGGTACTGGGGGGGAAAGGACTGGGTAAGGGAGTGAGGCAGGAGGGAGTGGGATGGAGGACTTGGGAAGACATGTTCCCCTGGAGAACATGTCCCCAAGGCTGTGAAATTTCCTTCTCCCTAGGGGCTGAACAACTACTGGCCAGCTAGAGGGCATGGCTGCCTCAATGAAGGAATTTCCCTCAGACGCCAAGTTCCAATCAGAGAACAGATTATTTATGAGAATGAACATTCCCATGAAAACAATACCTGAAAGAATGATAGTTCAGTAGAAAATAATTGAAACAGAATTTTTAATATAAGAAAGTTTAACTAAGCTAAAGTCTTATTCCAAAGCTTTATTATGACAAATAAAAATTTGAGGAGTTGTTAGATTTTTTTTTAAAACCCTAGTCTATTGCTGCTGTCTTAGACAAAGAATTAAAACACAGAATTTCAGGCCATGTGTCTTTCTCATATGAAGTCTAGTTTTATGTTTTTGCCTTAGGGAATACCATTTATCACCTTTTATTGTCTCTAAAAGGGAACTAGCATTTTTAACAGTATTTTATTTTTTTCCCAATTGTACGTCAACAATTTTTAGCATTCACTTTTACAAGATTTTTGAGTTCCAGATTTCTCTCCCTCCCTCCCTCCTCTTCCTAAAACAATTTGATATAGGCTATGTATGTGCAATTAGGTAACACTTATTTCCACATTAGTCACAGTTGTAAAAGAAGAAACAGATCAAAAGGAAAAAAAAACACAAAAAAATAAAGTGAAAAAAGTATGCTTCAATCTACATTCAGAGTCCATCAGTTCTTTATGTGGATATAGATAACTGGCATTCTTTTTATTCTTAAATTAAAATGTAAAATTTCTTCTCATATAACTTCTCCATTTGCCACCCAAATTGGTTAGCAAGGAATTTGATTTATATTAAAAGTCTCAGAAACTTTATAAACCTAAAAAAAAAAAATACTAACCTGTGAGTTCTGAATGACATGATTAGCCTCTAGTTGGATAGTAAATGTCACACCAAGTTCAGATGAAAAAGATTTCATTGGTGAAAGAGTACCAGATGACAGAACAATCGTCCGTACATTACTACTAATATCCGAAAAGGCCTATAAAGGAGGAAAAAATATTAGTTATACAAAACTGTGATCAAATGGGCCAAATATTTTCATCTAATTCTGTGAGCAATTATACTAGCTAAAAATTTCCCACTACGTCAGAACAAGCTTACCACAGCTGGATTCAAGCACCAAAAGTTTAGTACATTTACTGCCATTTTTTGTCTAGAATGTTTCTTATTTTTAGGTAAAGCAATGAAACCATTTTTGTCTGGAATATCAATCTGGCTTGTCCAAGAGTAAGTTTGCTGTAAAGCGACTTTGTAATCATCTGCAAACCTAAATGAAAAGCAAATTGTTCATTTTTAAAAAATATTTACAATATTTGTCACCAATATCTGAATATAGTTTAACAATCAATTACATTTAAAGTCAGTTATAAGTCATGTTCATATAGGGGTTTAAAGTTTGCAAAGTGTTTTTTCACAACAGCTCTATAAATTAGGCAGATAAATATTATTATTCCCATTTTACAGAAGAGAAAACTAAAAGAGGGTAAATGACTCTCCATGGTTACAAAGCTAATGGGGATGAGAGCTGCTAGACCTATTTACTCTAAATATAGTACTTTTTCTAGCATACTATACTGTATATCATTCAAAAATCTTAATCTCATAATTTTCCCCACTATCAACAAAAAAGTTTATAAGTTTGGCCACATATCATAGAATCACAGAATTTTAGAATTAGGAAAGGTCTCAGAAATTATCTAATCCAAGGGTTCTTTACCTAGGGCCCAAGACCCCCAACTAGGTCCATGGATAAATTTTGGAGAGTCTCTGAACTTGGAAGGGAAATAAAATACATCATTATTTTCACTAATCACTATCTAAAATCTAGCATTTCTTTTGACTTTTAAAAACACTAAGGGTCCACAGGCTTCATCAGACTGCCAAAAAAAAGAGGTCCATGAAAGAACTGATAAATAGAAGTATGTACAGAGTAACTGTACACATATATTTTTATATATATATTTGTGTCTAATGGTGGCCATCTCTAGGGTGGAGTGGAAGGAGAGAAAAGAAAGAAATTTACATAATAATTTTGTTGTATATTTTAAAGGAATAGCAAGTTGTACATAGCAGATTTGCAGCTTCATATGCAATCATCTTTTTTGTTGTACTGTGTAATGGAAATGCTCACTTTATTCCATAAATTAAAAATAAAATTAAATTTAAAAATTCAGAATTTCACAAACACCAAAAAAAAGAGAGGAACATTTCTATATACAAAACAGAATGGGAAGAGTGAATATGTGAAACCATGACCCTAGTACACACAGCTCTTTTTTAAAAAGCACATGACAATAGCTAGCTCTTATATAGTGCTTTATGGTTTACAAAGCACCTAACACATTATTTCAGAATCTCACAACATTCCTCTGATGTAAGTGTGATTACTACCACTTTTACATATGTCAAAACTAAGACTGAGAAAGGTTAAGTGACTTACCTGAGGTGGCACTGCTAGTATCCGAGGCAAGATTTGAACTCAATTCTTCCTGACTTCAAGTACAGCCCTCTATAAACTAAGACACTTACACTAACATTACTAATCCTTCATTAATAGTATACTTAGCTTGTTACTTTCAAAGCTGTCCTATTTTTCTGTTTCCCACTGAACTTCTTTCTCTTCTCTTCTGTTTTTTAAAAAATGCTTCATTGATCTTTTCTTTCTTTTCAATGACACTATCATTTGTTCTCTCCCTGACAAATTCCTCCCCCAATGGAGAAAAAAAAAAGAAAAAAATTCTCAAAACAAATAATCATAGTCAAAGGAAAACAAATCCACCCATATGTTGAATACAAAATACACATTTCTTTCTGCACCTTGAATCTACTACCATTCTGTCAGGAGGTGGGTGACACGCTTCATCAATGATCTGAAGTTATGGTTGGTCACTGCATTGATCAGAGTTCTTAAATATTTCAGAGTTGCTTTTATTGACAATGTTGTTATTACTGCATAAATTGTTCTCCTGGTTCTGCTCACTTCACTCTCGTATGCTCACACAAGTTTTCCCAACTTTGTCCAAAACCATCTTTCATCATTTCTTTTTTTTTTTTTAGGCTAGGCAATGGGGTTAAGTGACTTGCCCAGGGTCATACAGCTAGTAAATGTTACATGTCTGAGGCCAGATTTGAACTCAGGACCTCCTGAATCCAGGGCCGGTGCTCTATCCACTGAGCCACCTAGCTGCCCCCATCCTCATTTCTTAAGGCACAATAATACTCTGGCATTCTAAACAGGCGAATCCCAAGGCAGGGTGAACTGGGGGTCAGAAGTCATATTCCAATGCTGGTCTATCAGGACAGAAGCTAGGGAAAGAGCCAGCCTCCATGTGTAACTGTAAAGATGGACAACGCCAAGCTGTGTACTACTCAGTGCAGTGGGAGATATACTAGAAGAGAAAGGCAACTCAGCACCTGAGAGCCAGTGCTGGGGGACTGTGAAGGAGGTCGAGACCAATGTGATTTCTGGCATCCCGCTGCGGCCTGTAAGAAGCACAGCAGGAAATAGAACCAACTCCCAAATGGGAATCATTCAAGGAGAAAGAAAGTGATGCTGGCTAAGGCAAGATCCTGCAGTGGACCACCATGAGACTGAGATAAAAGCCAGGGATTGGGGCAAAATGGGGGCCTAGCGTCCATCACACCATCCAGGGTAACAGCCACAGCAGGGCACAGGATCAAAGACTGCCCAAATCAACCAAGAGTATCAGAGAAGAGGAGAATAGCCTAAGCACAAAATCCTAACGTATGAACTAAAAATGAAAATGTGAGTAAACAGGAGTGGGGAATGCAGGATATTTGGAGCAGGAATCCAAAATTCAAGAGAACAAATAATTTAATCCTAAAGAACTGGTACGCAAAACAACAAATCATAGAAACAATAAATCTTTTAATTAAAGAAAATGACAATAATGAGACAATATACCAAAACTTTGGGATGAAGCCAATGCAGTCCTTTGGGGAAAATTTATATCTCTAAACACTTACAACAACAATAGAGAAAGAAAAAAAATCAATGAATTGATAATGTAACTTTAATTAGAAAAGCAACAAATCAAAAATATTCCCAATTAAAACACTATGACAGAAATTATGAAAAATCAAAGAAAAGATAAAAGAAATTAAAAACAAAAAAATTAAATAGATTATTAAATTAGGAGCTCTTTGGAAAAACAATCTGATAAAAAACAGAAAAAAATTAAATTGCCAATATCAAAAATGAAAAGGGGGGTTAACTACTCGGTAAAGGCTTTTCATTTTCCTTTTCAAGTTAATCTCTTTCCAATTTTCCCCCTAGAGGGGCCAGCTAGGTGGCACAGTGGATAGAGCACCAGCCCTGAAGTCAGGAGGACCTGAGTTCAAATCCAGCCTCAGACCAAACACTTGACACTTACTAGCTGTGTGACCCTGGGCAAGTCACTTAACCCCAATTGCCAAAAAAAAAAAAATTTCCTCCTAGAGCTCTGATTTCATTCATAATTCCGTTTTTTATCTCTTATTTCACTTCTTCCACTATTAGTCTTTGTATTTTGTCTCTGAGGTTCTGCTTGTAGCTTTTGTGCAGTTACTCTCCTCTTAATGGGTTTATTTCTTAAATGTCTCAACCCTGAGTAAGCCATAATTTTGTTTGGTGCCTTCTTCCATTTATTCACATTATTAGGCATCAGATTGGCTAAGATGACAAAAAAGGAAATTGACAACTGTTGGAGGGGCTGTGAAAGGACTGGCACACTATTGTACCATTGATGGTGTTGTAAGGTGGTCCAACCACTCTGGAAAGCAATTTGGAACTAAATTTAGCAATTTAGTAACAAAAAATTACTAAACTGTGTATATGCTTTGACCAAGTAACAAACAACCCTAGGCTTACAACACAAAGAGATCAGAGAAAGAGGAAATGGATCCCATTTGTACCAAAATATTTCTAGCAGAACTTTTGGTGTAGCAAAGAACTAGAAATAAAGTGGATACCCATTATTTGGTGAATGGTTGAATAAATTATAGCATGTGAATGTCATGGAATATTATTTCATCATAAGAAATTTTAAAAGAGACTGATTCAGAGAAACCCAGGAGGATTTCTATGAACTGACAGAGTGAAGTGACCAGAACTAAAAAATCGATTTATACAATGACTACATCACCAAGAAGGAAAACAACTGTGCAAGTTTTAAGAACTCTGATCAATGCAATGACCAATCACAACTCCAGAAGACATGAAGATGAAACATTTTGGCAGAGAGATGATGGACTAGAGGTGCAGAATAAGACACACGTTTTCAGACATCACCATCGTGAAAACTGTTTCAGCTTTGTTACTCAGACCTCATCAGTCTTCTCAGTTGCTTCTGCCCCTCTGACTGGAAGGCTGGAGTGCGGAGCAAAAAACCAAATTCCACAGCTTCCCTTTACAGAGGGCTCACACTCCAAGCATCTCTTCGTTTGTCACCAGATCCTCTGCTTGGTTCAGCCTTCACCATCATCTTCATCAAGCCCCTGAACTGACTACTCTCTGCCACTATCCCTTCCCCCTTTCAGCTAGGTGGCACGACAGATAAAGCGTCAGGCCTAGAATCATGAAGACCTGAGTTCAAATCTAGCCTCAGATACTTACTAGCTGTGTGACCCTGAGCAAGTCATTTAATTTCTGTCTGCCCCAGTTTCCCCATCTATAAAATGAAGATAATAACAGCATTTACCTCCCAGGATTGTTGTGAGGATGAAATGAGATATTTGCAAAGTGCTTAACACAGTGCCTGACACATATGGAATGTTATATAAATGTGAGCTGCTGTTGTTGTTGTTGTCTTCTTCTATTAGACTGTAAGCTCCTTGAGGGCAGACTTTCTTTTTCTTATTTGTAACCCCAGCACTTAGCACAGTGGATGGCACAAAGTAGGCATTCAATCAATGTCTTGTTGTATCAGATACAGAAAATATGGATTTGTTTTTCCTGGCTACACTTATATGTTACAAGGGAGGGCAGAGTTTTTTAGTGAACAAGAGCTTTGGAGGCAATGACATTTATATTAAAAAAAGGAAAAAAGAAAGAAGACTCAATGAAGTATTTAAAAATTACAAAGAAGAAAGCAGAAGGGCGTTCAGAAGGAGCAACAACAAGCAGGACAATGTTATAAGCTGTGTGTAGAAATTCAGTTCCATTGAGGTTCCTCCTCTTCTATTCCTCATATAAGGAAATGTCTACATTTGTTGATGTTTATTAAGTTCATATGAACTTAATGAAAAGGAAAATGAAAATTTTCCTAACTGAAAAGGAAAAAAATTTTAAGGCATTTATGAGACATACCCAAGGCTCACGGAACGTTATTAGATACATTTGTTTCTAAGGAGAAAAACGGAAATGATCTCCACTGACCTGCTCTTCTGCCTAAAAAGATAATCCAGTACCATAAACAGTCCTTTGAGCATAATCTGAGTCGAGGGACTAACAACAGGTATTTCTCTGATTTGCTCTTTACCATTAATGGTCATAATTTTTTCTTCTTTTTGAAGGACAGCAGTAAAATGTCCCTACAACAGAAAAACAGGATGTAAACAATGTCTTAAAAAAAATTCAATACAATCATATTCCTTATGGAAACATGCAATAGCTATCTGAATACAATACTATGAACTGTTAGCTGAATGACGAGGCTAAGTGCCAACAATGGCACCGTAGTCTGGTTACATATGATCAGCTAAATTCTCCCCAGAGTCAGTCACTCTCTAAGAGTAAGTTAGGCCTTTAGGAGGCTCATTAATTCTTCAGGCTGTTGGGGTACCAGGAGAAGTCACTAAATAGATATGTACTAAATGGTTCTCTAGTGGCTTGAAGGGGTTAAAGTGCCTTGTCAACTTCCATGGAGCACTTTGGTACTGAAAAGATCTTGACTCAATGAAGGGTGATACATAAGTATAGCATTAAATAAATGATGCATGCTATGCAGAGAATACATTGCTGGGCCAAACCACTACATAATAATAACTTTGTATCCACAAGATGACTTTCACTAATGGCAAAAAATATCTTACCTGTAATATTGGAAAGGTAGCAGCAGTTATGCCCATTTTATAGAAGTGAGAGATCATTTCACTTCCACTCCACACTTTACAGGATGATTCATAATGTCTTTCTACAAGATGTTTAGAGTTTTCCTGTAACCAACTAAAATAAGAAAAAAATTAAACTAAACAATAACTCCAACAGACAATATCAGCCTTTCTACATTTTACTTTGGCAAAAAGCTATGGATAAAATGGATTTTCACCATGGTCACACACCATTCAATGCTCCTAGTAACTGGCTAAGAAAGCTTAATCAGAAATTACAATACCTTGGAGAAAGTATGCTAGTGACCACCCATCTAGCTGCTTTGCCACACACATAGCAAATTAAACACACAGAACTAATGCAATGATTTTATTTTAGAAAAAGAAGCATGCATGTCGTTGTACTTGTTCTCAAACGACTCGTATAGCTTTAGGCCAAAACAGATACCATACTACAATGTTTTTCCTACTCAGGAGAGATATTCACATAAATGGCAATGTTTCTTTTTTAATTCCTTGGTAGGGGCACAAGATAGATCAAGCAGGCGGATCATTTGCTATTGTTTACAGCAAATAATCAATCAGTAAACATTTATTAAGCACCTACTATGTGCTAGGCAAGGTGCTAAACACTGGTGATACAAAAAGGGGCAAAAGTCAGTCCCTGCCTTCAAGGAGCTTACAGTACAACGGGGAAAACAACATGTAAATAAAAAATACAAAGCAAACTATACACAGGATAAATATGAAATAATCAACTGACCCCCCCCAGTGGAGAAGACACTAGAATTAAGAGGGGATTAGGGAAGGCTTCCTGTAGAAGGTGGGATTTAATTGAGACTTGAAAGGAAACCACAGAGGTCAGCAATTAGAGCAAAGTAGAGAGAGCATTCCAGGCATGGGGGCCAGCCAGAGAGAACACCCAAGAGAGAGAGTGTCTTGCTCGTGGAATGGCTAGGAGGACAGTGACACTGGACTGGAGAATGTGTGGGGGAATAAGGTAGGAAGAGGCTAGGTTATAAAGGCCTTTGAATATAGAGCATTTTGTATTTTATCCTGGAGACAACAGGAAGCCAATGGACTTTACTGAGTAAGGGAGTGACATGGTCAGAACCACGCTTTAGGAAAATCACTTTAGTGGCTGAATGGAGGATGGATTGCAGTCTAGAGAAATGAGGCAGGCAGACCTAGCAACAGGTTATTGCAATAATCCTGGTGTGAGGTGATGAGGGCCTGCACCTAAGTAGTAGCAGAGTCAAGGGAGAGAAGGAGACATATTTAAGAGATGCTGCAAAAGTGAAATCAATATTGTGAAGAGTAGATAACTTCCAGGTTGCAAGCCTGAGGACGAGAAGGATGGTTTCACCTTCCATCAAGGAAGGTAGGAGTGAGAAGTTCTAAGATAGTAAGTTCTATTTTGGATATGCTGAGTTTAAGATATCTACCAGACATCCAGTTTGAGAAGCCTGAAAGACAATTAGAGATGCAGGATCAGAGGTCAGCAGAAAGGCTGAAACAGGCAAGGTGGATTTGAGAAACATCTGCACACAGATGGTAATTAAATCCATGAGAGCTGATGAGCTCATCAAATGAAGCAGTATAGAAGGAGAAGAGAAGGGGGCTCAGGACAGGACACTGTCCAAAGAATAAGGATTTGGAACACATAACAAATACAAATCTCAAGGCAGCACTGAAAAGCAACCTGAAATGCTACCTTTTAGAATAAAAAGTAACTAACTAGAAATCCTGTGCTTTTTTCTTCTCCCTACTATCAAAGACTTCTAAAGGAAAATCTTAAGCTAGAAAACATCAGACTGTACATTTAATTTATACTAAAGAACAGTTTTGAAGTATGTGGGGTGTTTTTTAGGTGTCACAGTTCCTGCTTTTGAGGCATTTTAATGGTCAAGAACCATTATTAAGAAGTTTACTACACAAATAATAGCTTCATTGTCTAATTCCAGATGACTGATTAGTTTCATTTATCTTACAAGCTCTTTAAAGCAAAAAAAAAGTAAGCAAACCATCCAAGAATATGCAATGTTAAATTTTCCAAATAATTTTTCATGCATCATGAAATGCATTCCAAGTGGAATTCCAAAAGTGACCCTTTGAAACAAAAATACATGTGGTCTATATTATCGATACAAGCATTAGCTATAGTATTGCATAAAATCAAAACATTTTATTTGACATCAAAAGCCAAATAAAAACTTCCCCATACAAAAAAAAGCAAAAATGTTTGAAGAAATATATTTTTGAAAATGTTTATTATCCAAGGGGACAGAGGGAGAGTGATTTATTTATAAAATTAAATTAATACATACACATACATCTGTCCGTCTGTCTGTCTATCTATCTATCTATCTTGAGGTATGTCTTAAAAACCAACACAACAGCTTTTGTTTTGTACAAGAATTTGTTTGGGCTAATTGATATTAACTTGTCCCATGTCTACTAAGTGGATAATATCATAGTGAGCTCTTTCAATAACATGAATAATTAAGACCTTTACGGGGGCAAGGAAAGCTTTTTGAACTTACTAGTGTCAAAGCAGATGACTTCTGCTAAGATGATTTATAATTCTGGTGAAGCTTAAAACTTTAACCATAACCGGGGGAATTGAGAACACAGGGAAAATATTGCAAAAGTGGTACACACACAAGTTTTTAACTTCAGCAACAGCAAAAGTGACATATTGAAAAGAGAAGTCCTTTGATTTTTATAGGCATCTGCCTGCCAAATATGTTGGATTTCTTTACCAACATACTAAAGAGACATACTAAAGAGTAACAAACAAAAGCCAAAGCTAATTCACTACCACTTTATTTTTAAAAACTCTAGAACTTTCAATATAATCCAATGATTTCTTCTCAATTACCAATGTTTCAGTTGTACCTCAATGCTTCCAGGGTCATGATTTCCTAAGAATGACCCAGAGTGCCATCCCTCTACCACTTAATAGATGGTCTTTAATTGGTAAATGGTATTCTGTTATTACCAATACTATTCAGTCTGTGGCTGAAAAATTCATCACCCTACACCCTATAAGGTTGCCTCTCAGAGTTCCTACTTTCATTGAAGGCTTAGCTTGAGTACTAGCTTCTACATGGCGACCCTTCCTGATATCCCCAACCAGTAGAAGTCTTTAAATATATTTTGTATTTACTTATTTGTGTACATACGGTGGTCATTTCCCCATCCCCACCCCAATTAGAACATAATAAAGCAGGGACTGAGATGTTTAGTGTGACTTAGTATTCCCCTAACATTTAGCACAGTACCTGTCACACAAAAGGCATTTAATATCTGTTGAATCAAACTAAATTGCACTAGCTCCAGTATTTTAATATCCTGAACTAAAATCCAGTAAACCACACCCTCCATTAATTGGAAACTTTTTTATCCTTTCCATTACACTTTGAAGAAAAAGGGAAAATCATAACATATCAGAAATGCATTAAAACAAAAACCTTCCAGATGATGAACTATGGTCAGCATGACAGATTCAGCCTCATCTTCTATCTTTAGAAGGGTTTCTTAACCTTTTTTGGGTCATGGACCCCTTTTACAATCTGGTAAAAACTATGCACTTCTCAGAATAATGTTTTTAAATGTATAAAATAAAGTACATAGGATTGAAAAGAAGGCCAAAAGAAGACAAAAGAAAAGTGTAATTTTTTTTTCCTATTTAAGTTCACAGAAGTCCTGAAATCTATCCATGAGTTAGGAATCCCTGAAGGAATATTCAATTGTGTTCAACTTACAATGAGTAGATGTTCATAATGATGATGCTGAGGCACTGTAAGATCCCCAAACGTCCAAATAAATTCAATTATGCTCATTACACTATTTGTCAAAGCAAGAAAAGGGACTGATTTATTTTAGAAAGCTTTAACAATAAAGCACCACTCCACTAAAGTTCTACTCCAATGCCTCACAGTGGCACAGAGATACTCAAGGTTGCTGAAGGCTCCCCATGGACTGGCAGGCCCTGGAGGCAGATCTTACACCACAGTGGAAAAGCTTTAAGCACACCCCTAGCAATGTTGGACAAGGCCAGTCTGGCTAAATACAGACAGTCTCACCCTGAGGCTGGCTGCAATCAATCAATCAATCAGTAGATCTTTATGAAGTATCTCTACTGTGTGCCAAGTACTGTGTGGCACTAGAGATAAAAAAGGAAAAGTGATACATGCCCTGTCCTTTAGGAAGCTTACCTGTTACAGAGGAGATAACATGTACATATAGAGGTACAGGCAAAACACATACAAAGTAGATACAAGGGAACCTTTGGGGAAAGAACTGTGTTAGCAGTTGGGTACCAGCTTTCCCCCAAAAGCCACTCCTCCACAGTTCCCTATTTCTGTCAAGGGCACCACCATTCTTCCAGTTCCGGGCTCATGACCTTGGTTTTACCCTCACTTCCTTCACTCTCCCTCATCCCACATATCCAGTAAGTTGTAGTAGCCTCTTACTTGGTCACCCTGCCTCAAGTCTCTCCTCACTCCAATCTAATCCCAATGTTACCAAAGTAGTTTTTCCCAAGCACATATCTGACCATGTCACTCTCCTACTCAATCAACTACAGTGGCTCTCTTTTGCCTCTAGGATCAAATATAAATTTCCATTTAGCACTGAAAGCCATTTAAACTCTGCTCCCAACCTGTCTTTCTAGCCTCACTATCCATTACTCCTCCTCACACTCTTTTTTCCCGTTCTGTTCTTCTCTCATCGTCCCCAGTGGCTCCAGGTAACCCAGAACCCATTCAGGCAACTGAAGTCCCACCTACCACCACTAGGGGCACTCTCCTTTCATACCTTTATGCCTCATGCTCTCCTAAAGCCAAGATCACCCAGAATCCATCTGGGCTGTGTGCCTGCTTGCAGAACAGGGGTGAGATGAGAGTCACCAATTCTATTCCTTTGCGTATGATGAAAGAGGGCCAAGCCTTGCTATCCACCATATGATTACCTTCTAAGGTCCTCCAGGCCTGCTATCTGCCCTGCTTCTGCACCCTGACAGACCCCCACCACTGTCATTCACCCCACTGACATACGAAAGATATCAATAAAAATGTATTTTAAAAATAAAAATGCAGCTTAAAGTAATCAAATTTTTTTTAAAGGAAACATCAACTTATACTGAAAAAAACAATTTCCTTACTTTATGAGGCTATAGCAAACAGCTCGCAAGGGTTCATGGTTTTTCTTCCTTATATTGTTGCTGACCATGACATCTAGTTCATCTCGAGCAAACCTAAGTTGGATTTCTGTAACACTGTAACTGGCTGACTCACGTGCACAGTCCTCAATATTATGGGCTTCATCTAAAATGATGATCTGCTCTTTCAAATTGATATCCATCTACAATAGAAAACAATTTTCCTGTAAAACATTATGAAATTGACTCTTTAATTTAATCAGTAGTCGGAAGACTCTCTTTTTACTTCACCCAGCTTTTAGCCAATAGAAGCATGCACAATTGTGTAAGAAATTGATTTTTCTGGGGCTTATATAACTTCTGCATTATTGAAGGCAACCAACTTTTCTTTATTGAATTCTTCATACATAACATCATCACAGCATTTACATCAGCACAACAGACTCTCATCTAGGGGCCTCAAAATCTTTTGCAAATATACGAAACTGACAACTATTTATGGACAACCTCTTGTGCAGAAGATACCCTATTAAAAGCTTCAGGGAATATAAAGTCTTCTAAGCACCTTGAGGGCAGAGACCCTATTTCTTTTAAGAAGCTTACCATTAAATTGGGGCACAAATAGAGGAAAAATAAAATAAACATGTGAGATGTAAAATAGCTATACAAGATAAAATGCTGGACAAGAATCACAAGGCAATACATGATTAAATGTCAAAGGAGGGACAGAGACAATAAATGTGTTCAGAGGAAAAAAAGAGCCCTGTGGCCAAGAGGAGTTTGGGAAGGCTTCCAGGAGATACTTGAGCTCACTCTCAAAAAACAGACGCAGAAAGGAGGAGGGGGGAAGAGAATACAGGAGCAGAAAATGTCTTGGGCAAGGCACAGTGAAAAGAAAGAACAAGGCATGATCAGAGGACTGTGAAAAGACCAGTCTGTCAAAGTGGAGGCTTCAGGTAGGGAGATGAGGCTGGAAAGGTACGTTGTAACCAGACTAAAAAGGACCTAAAATGCCAAGCTAAGGAAACTCTACTTTATACAAAGTAGGCAACAGCAAAAGGTTTTTGAGACAGGAAGAGAGAATAAAAAGAGCTAAAAACTAGGTAATATAAATGATAAATATACACTATCCTCATTTTAAGCCTGAAAGAACAGCAAAACTGATAAAAATAATTTGCACACATCAAAAAAGCTGATAGCAACAACAAGAAGGCCAAATTTCTCATGCTCCATCATACTATAATCAATGGTTATGTCACTTGGTGAGGAGAACGAGATGGCAGAAACATACGTGCTGCATAAAAACATCATTTCTCAAAAGTTCACAAAGTATATCAACATGTACATGAATTTTCCATTCAGCACACTAAGTGGCTTTTATAAAATGTTTCATTTTATACCTATTGTACCTTAGCTATATTCTCACTGCAGACACTAGATTCATAAGATTCCTTGTCATCTTAGTTTAAAATGCCATCTTTATATTTAAATAAGTAGTTTTAATCTAATTTCAGGAATTAGTTACTACTAAGTAGTAATTACTGGTTTCTCCTAATGTGCTCATACACTTACTTAAATTAAAAACTGAACAGAACGATGGACATAAAAGGAGAAATTAAAATAAAAAACACCAAAGATATTTCTTTGTCTGATCACTTCAGTCCCAATTAATAAAGAAATGGTCTTCACAATCATTACATTTATACTTACACTTTCCCTTATCTGTGAATCCAGGAGATAGTTGTAGGGACAGAACACAATGTCAGCATCTAACATTAGCTCTCGAGCTGCATAATATGGACATGCCTTTAACTTTCTCCCCAGGCTCACAAGATCTTCTATATCCCAGGCCCTGCCCATCCCTGGGAAAGTCTGTAGAGCATGTTGCTCACTAATCTTATGGACACCGTGGTTGAAATAACAGGATCTACCCTAAAAGTAAATACATATCATGGAAAAGTTAGCCAATATTGTAGTAGCAATTAAAAACCAACTCCCCCTTACATTAGGAGTGTATAATATTAGCAAATGGCCACAAAGCAAAAGTGTCACATAGAAGTTATAGCATTAAATTAACAATAATAATTTTTAAAGAGATTCAGTTTTGATCTCTCAAATTAGCTAAGAGCCTAACACCCATGAATCCATAATTAAAACACATTTTCCCAGACCTACAATTTCATTTTTGTGGGGAGCTTCTAGTATAACTCTCTAGTATAATAACTCATCCCCAATTCACATCTATAGAGAGCTGCCCAGGGCACTGAGATGTTAAGAGACTGATTTGTTATAGTCACAAAGCTAATATGTGTCAGGGCAAGACTTGAATCCAGTCTTCCTGCCTCAATAACTGTTTTCTAGGGGGCAGCTGAGTGGCACAGTAGATGGAGCACCGGCCCTGGATTCAGGAGGACCTTTGTTCAAATCCTGCCTTAGACACATAACACTTACTAGCTGTGTGACCCTGGGCAAGTCACTTAACCCCAACTGCCTCACCAGAAAGCAAAAAAAAAAAAAAAACCAAACAAAAACTGCTTTCTATCTACCAGTATGTCATGTTGCTTCTCTTCCCACATACTTCTTATAATACTTAATAATGATCAGTCAAAACCAGCTAAATTTGTCTTTGTCTAGGTATATTCTGTATGAGCTACTCAAAGGCAAGATCCTATCTTCTATGTTCTTTGCTACCCACCCAATGGCACCTGCTGTATGTAGAATAAAGTCACAGTCTATTGCCTCATTGGAGTGTGGAGGAGACCCTGGGTCTTTAAGAGATGTGTCAGTGGAGTATGAGCTCTGTCAGATTTTATCTGGTTAGAAAGGATTCAAATATAGTACCAGAAACAGACTGTGTCTGTTTTCCAAGGTCCAGCCTAATTAGGTACAAAGAGCCTCATTGCCAACGAAGCAGACATTATGTCAGGGATTTTTCTAAGGCAAGGCAACCTGTGAAACAAAGAAAAACACAAAATGGTCCTCACTTCTTTGTCGCCCCTTTCGTGATAACAGTGGCAGAACAGTGGGAAGAGTTAGAAGGTTCTGTGAACAGTTGTTATACTATCCATAAATAGTAACAACTCTGGGTACTCTAAATGTGAGGATTTTATCCAGTAAATCATTATTGGTGCTCTTACTATAAATGAAGATAGAGGACAAAAGGAAGTTGTAGCTAAAGGGAAAGCTAGTTCATAGATTCTCCTTAGAGAAGCAAATAAAAGAATTTATGGAATTGGATTTACTATGTCTCCAAATAAGATAGGAAACATTATTTCATGGAACACTTGATCATCTTATATTGCAGTGCTCGTGAAATGCATTTAGAAGATGACCATCACAAAAATAACTGCTACTTACAAACCAACATCTATTGGAGAGGATGAAGAAATAGAGAAATTCTACGAAAAGCTAAGTAAGAGCCTCCAAATTAAGTCATGTATACTTGAATACAGCAATGGAAGGAAGGAGGCAGTATAGGGCCCAGAAATAGGAAATGAAAGAAGTCAAAAGTTTGCAGTCTGGACAGAAACCTCATGCTTATATATTATGAACTTACTTCATAAAAAAGAATTAGGCAAAGAGTGTTACTAAAAAAATGAAAATGCCTACATCTTAACACACAGGAAACAACTGGTTTCCAATAGGAGCGCATTATGAATCAGCTTTCTGTGTACAATCAGACCACCAACTTAATAGATATACAAATAAATGCCAAACCAAAATGCAAATGAGAAGACAGGGCATTCAATTAAAACAATTTCTATCTGACCCATTTAAATAAGTTATTGCCATTGGAAAATGAAAAATGGATAAAAAAACAAATCAGACCACCAACTTAATAGATATACAAATAAATGCCAAACCAAAATGCAAATGAGAAGACAGCATTCAATTAAACAATTCTATCTGACCCATTTAAATAAGTTATTGCCATTGGAAAATGAAAAATGGATAAAAAAACAAACACAGAAGCTATGAACATTTCCTAAGGAACTTTAACTGATATAAATCAATCACCACAAAAAGGAGACCAAAATAGTTTTGTGAGCACTACATGTTCATCTTGCCAAGTGGAGATATAGCAGTCACAGGCAACAACGGTTTAGAATACAAACTTGGCTGTAAAATATTACAGGGGAAAAGGTGGAAGATTATGAGAAGTATAAGAGAGCAAGAAGTAGGAAAAACAAGATCACAGAAAGTTTGGGGTGAGATAAATGGAGCTAGATCATACCAAGACAAAAAAAAAACACAAAACTAGAGGACGAGGAACTGATAAAAAATGGAAAAAGACTTGTTAAGATTGCTATAACAAATACTTTGTCACTGACAGAAGAACTACCACACTAGGAAATAGAAAGGACATTAAAGAAAATAAAGATGTGAAAAACAGCTAGAAAATACCAGATATACACTGAGAAGATCTATGGTGGAGGCAATGCAATTTGGGAGCGTTTGGGGCCTCCTGAAACAGGAGGCTTGGTAAAAAGTACAGACAGTAATACTACTTTTTAAAAAAATAAGAAAAAAGAAACCGAGAAAACAACAATAACTACCAACCCATAAGACTAACATTTCCATTTCTACAAAATCTTTATGAATACATGGAAGAGCACATATTAAGGACCCGCTGTGTGCACTGTGCTAAACACTGGGGACACAAATTAAAAAAAAAAACCAACAACTGGAAAGTCCTTGTTCTCCAGGAACTTACATTTAATAGGAGCTGACAAATATGGGCAGGTGACAGCCAAGGGGCACTTTGGTAAGGGGAGTCCCAGAGATGAGTAGAAGAACCGCAAGGCAGTCAAATGACATACTCTGCCCTTCCCAGAAGCAACAGTACTACTAATGTGAATTTGGTTACTGCGCCCACAGCAAGAAGTTAGGTCTATATGTGAAGTGGTAATGTGCCCATGTGAGTGGACTGCCGAATGGGATCTGAAGCAAAAGCATGGTCAAAGGGCTGGCTAGATATAAAGGGCTAAGTAAGCCTATACTCATTCAATCCATAATCATAACAACTGGCTCCAAAATTAAGTGGATTAACTTTCCCAGGGACTGAGGCATGGATTCTAGAGAGTCCATGATATACAACAAGTTAATCCAGGTGGGAAGAAATAGGGTAGCAGTGGGAGAGCAGATGGTAATGTGGATGGCTACATGGATTGAGTGGGATGAAAATAAGCTAACACACCTACTGTGGGTATCCTTGAAGAAAAGGAGAACATATAACAATATATGAATAGGCTGCCACATAGCACCACAAAGAATAGCACAGGAGACGTGAAATAAAGCATGTCATTTGAGAAACATAAGACTAAAAAAAGGAATGGACCAATTATATAGCAAGATGGAGAGATAAAGGATGGATGAGTCATATGCCCACCTCAAGAGATATAAAAAAGGGGGGCAGCTAGGTGGCGCAGTGGATAGAGAACCAGCCTTGGAGTCAGGAGGACCTGAGTTCAAATCCGGCCTCAGACCAAACACTTCACACTTACTAGCTGTGTGACCCTGGGCAAGTCACTTAACTCCAACTGCCTAAAAAAAATTAAATTAAATTTTAAAAAAGACATATAAAAAAGGGCCCCTAAACACTTTGGGTGGGTCTCAGGTGATGTATCTACAGGAAAACACAATCAAAGATTTTAAGAATGAGAAGACATGCAAGGACTATACATATTTGTCACAAGAGTTTTGTTTTTCTCTCTCCTCTCCCCCCGCCTTGGGGAGTGGGACTGGAGAGAAAATAAACTTATTAGTTAAAAAAAAATTTAATTTCAAAATATATGAAAAAAATCAAAGAACAAAAGAAGCACCATTCTCAGTAATGTCTACCTTGATAAGATGACAGATCCATGAAGTATGACTTAATCAACTAACTTTACCCACATCATTGAGGCTGGTAGGTGGTATAGAAGATAGAGCACCAGGCCTGAAGTCAGGAAGATCTGAGTTCAAATGCAGCAACAGCTACTTCCTAGCTATATGACTTTAGGCAAGTAACTTAATTTCTATTTGCCTCAGTTTCCTCAACTGCAATAAATGGGGATAATAACAGCACCTACCCCTCAGGGTTGCTGTAAGGATTAAATGAGATAATATTTATAAAGTGCTTAGCAGAGTACATGGCACAAAGAAGGTGCTATACAAATTTTGCTATTCGTATTATTATCATAGAAAAATGCCAGAATACAAGGAATTATGCAGTCCTCTTTGTTTGACTCATTTTCTACAAAATGTTCATTCCTCTATACTCCTGCTCTTTTTTCCTACTATGCCAGCTTCTCCTATAAAAATGTATTTTTTGTTTTTAATTCCCTTTTCTATCATCCTTTATAAACTTCTCTTTCTTGTGTAGTAATGAATGCTTAGACTAATTCCTACAATGGCAGTGGCATATATGAGCTTTCAGTCTTCCCTGTATATACAAAAGGCAAAAAACCAATCACAGGCTTCATAGGTACCCTTGATTTAGTAGCCCACTCCTGTGCTATAGTATTAATGAAAGGAGGAAAACAAGCCTACTATATGCCAGGCACTGTGCTAAGCACTACATACATCATCTCACTTGATCCTTATAACAACTCTGGAAAGTAGGTGTTATTAGTATCCCCAATTTACAGTTGAGGAAACTGAGGCAAACAGAGGTTACATAACTTATTCAGGGTCACACAGCTAGTAAGTGTTTCAGGCCAGATTTGAACTCAGGACTTCCTGACTCCAGATCTGATGCCCTATCCTCTGTACTACCTAGCTGCCTCAATGATGTGGGTGAAGTTCATTGATCCATACTTCATGGATCTATAATCTTATCAAGACAGACACTCCTTACAATGATGCCTCTTTGCACCATTGTGCCCCCTAGCCCTTAAATTAAAAGCATTTAACTGGGACTTGGGATATCTGAGGTCTGGTACAAGTTCTGCCACTATATAGCTTAGCAACTTTGGGCAGGTCATTTTCTTTCTCTAGGCCTATTTCCCACCATAAAATGAGGAGGCTGGACTGGACAGTTTCCAAGGTCCCTTCCCCTAGCATTGACATTCTATATGGTTATTGTGTGATCAAAAAAAAAAAAAGTCAGACAAGAAAGACTTGCTATCCAAAGTGCATTTAACAAAGTGACATTCATCTAATCTACCTTTTAACCATCTTCATAGCCTCTTCTCCACTGGTCTTGAAAGCTAATCCATGGACTAGATGTGTACCTGGAAAGCTCCACATACCAGGCAGATATCTAATACATGTTAGGTTCTAAGGTCCCTTCCAGCTCTAAGCCTCTATACCTTGAGGACTCTTATCCCCCAAAGTAGCACTATGGGAAGTCTCATCTTGATTGGCAAAGGGCAACCACTTCTACGTATTTCATTTTTTAGTGTTTATATATCTGGATCTAATTAAATTTGTTTTCTTAAACTAAACAAAGACTAATTTCATATAGCCAATTGACTTCTTTTTCCTGAAGAGCACGTTAGCAAAGGAAACAGTGAACAAAAACACATGTCCTCTCTGATCAAGCCAAAAATCAGAAAGTTTACACTTTAAGGGCATTTAGACCAACACCCACATGAAGACTGATAGCAAAAGCAGAAAAGCTCATCCATTTTAAGTGTAACACAACCCTGAGGAAAGGCTGTCACTGAAGTGTTATCACACTTTAAGCTCTTTTTACTCAAACTGTCAGATATCTATTTATCTTTCCACTTTGGTGAAACAAGTTCAGTAAACACAGACACCTACAGTGACAGTGTAATTGGCCCTCATTACAATACCAAATTACCCTGAGGGCCCAGGAGCAAAAGAAGCAAACTGTTCACTGTATTCACACCCACCAGGTTAGGTAGGCAGGCACTCTGAGAGTCAATTAACTACTAGACAAAAATAACTTGGAAATTGGTAAATGTCTGAAATGAATTTAAATTACATGCTAGTACATGACAAAATAACATTGACATATTTACTAATGTCCATAATAACGACAAAATGTCTTCAACTACTTAAATTTTTCTTATTTAAGAACAACTATCACCAGTTCAAAATATGGGCTGTGAAAGAGCAGTAAAATTCTGAATATTGCCTATAATTACTTATTTTACAGGTAATTTCCATTATTCATTACCAATTAATGAATATTCATCACCAATAAGAACCAAGTCAACCATCCATGACTAAGTCTGCTGACTTCTAAGTTTTGAGGAAAAGGCAATCAAAGTCTTTTTTTTTTTTTTGGCTAGGCAATGGGGATAAGTGACTTGACCAGGGTCACACAGCTAGTAAGTGTTACGTGTCTGAGGCTGAATTTGAACTCAGGTCCTCCAGAATCCAGGGCCGGTGCTCTATCCACTGCGCCATCAAGCTGCCCCCAATCAAAGTCTTAAACAATGTCATATACTCCCAAATTTTTAAAGTTTAATTTAATTGATGGGACAATATTGAAGCCAAAGTTAATAACATAACATTTCCACAAGTGAAAGCAAAGCAATGTTGATAATATGATGCTTTTATTCAGCTTCTGTAGCAAAAACCAAATTTTAAACATTTAAGGAAGTCCACAGATCAACTACATATCCAGAATTGGTAGAAGGCTATCTAAAATAGAATTTCTGGGTCTGAATGTGTAGGCGAGTTCTGTCTCTACTTGGTCATTTCTCTTTCTCTGTATAATATACATATGTATACAGACACATAGAGTGTCTTTCTTTCAAAAATGGAGAGGAATTTACTCAAAAGAAACAGTGAGTAGAGGATTTCAGAATTCCTTAAATGTTAAGAAAGAACTTAAGACAAATTAATAGCCAACTGGTTTCCACAACGGATTGAAGAAAAGAGTCTCAGACTCTCATTCACATTTCTTTTATTCGTTTGTTCTATGTTTCTGAATAAGTAACTATTTAGGACTTTATTCTATATTTTCAAAAATTTTTTTAAATCACTGAAGATTATTTTAAGGATTAGGCAGATTCACTCATTCATCCCCATCTAACATAAAAATATTGAGAAAGAAAAGTAGGGTATTCAAGTTATACAGCAAAAAAAATGTAATAGATGAAATTAAACTTTAGAAACCTTGACTCAAAGCCTTCTGGGTATTACCAACATTACCTTGATTTGACTAAAAACTTAGATGAAAGATAATATTACTTCCATAAGATATTAGACATTCTGCATATGTTACTAATGCTCTTTCGTCCAAGGTACCTCTCTGCTGATTGCTGGATATAATTCCAGATGTGAAATAGTAAGCATTACAGCTAACTAGTAACTGTACTAAAGTATAGATTCTCAAATGAATTTAGCAACCAACTTAGAAAATCTCATATAAACTAGTTAGGTTTTCTTTTATAATCCACCCAAGCTGAATACAGGTTTTTCTAAATTTCTCAAGGACATCTCAATACCTCTCATAAATTTTTTAAAAATTATTTCATCCTTTTGTACTGTAAAAAGTTTTCAGAGACAAAAGCCTGCAATAAACACAATTTAATGACAAAATACTAATAGTGACATTTCCCATTCAACTAAAATGATGATGTTTATGTTTGGTAGAATTGAAGATAAAATCTAATTTTTTTTTTCATTCTCAAGATAAACTAATTGCATGTACTCAGAACAATACCATTTGAAAGTGTTAGATTCTGCACCTTCTAATAGCCTAAGAACTGGAGACATTTACTTGGGAGCAGAAAGAGAAGAATTTGAATTTTTGCAAGTGAACATGTAACTTAGGAATTAAACTATAATATAAGCTTTGGTCCTAAGTCTTACAATTTTAACCTACTGTGTTGATAATCAAGATTTACTGAAATAAACCTTTTTTCAAAACGAATTAGTCCTAGCACACACTCACTTTGGTCACAAGGATTTAATAAGTTAAAGACTGAATTATCATTCTAAATATAAATGTACAGATCTTGAAAATTTCACGCCCTAATTCTTTCCTAAAACAAAACTGTTTTACTCACATTTTTTCCATCCATCAACTCCATACATTTTTCATTCCTGTTGAAATTACCGATTACTTCAGGATGGACACAAGTATGATCCCTGCTAGAAAGAATAGTCATTCGGACCCCAGAGTATGCTGTCCTCCGCAGTTCTCTAGTAATCTGAGCTATCTGTTTATGTGTACGAGTCCCAAAAAATATTTTAGGTGTCTTGCATTTTCCCCCATGTTCTTTCTTTGTTATATTATCGTCATCTTGACTTTTTCCACTTTTAATGGAACAGGAACACCGAGTACAAGGACCAGGAAGCTGTAACAACAACAAAAAAATTTTGTTTATTATATTACCCCCTACAATGTACTCATAAAATCTACTACAAAATGATCAAAAAATGAATCACAGCTGTCAAGTAAAAACAAGCTTTTAAAAAGATCTAAAATTTCTTCTAAAGTAAATAAAATATAAAAAATAAGTATATAAGTATATATTAAAAATAAAATATAAACTATACTTATGATTGATCCTTCACCAATCTAAAAAGAACTTATAATTATACTGGACCCTAAACATATAATACAAATCTGCACAAAATTAAATTTTAATTTTAACAACCAAGTATTTATTCACATCTTTCCTACTAGAAATGCATTAAGAAAAAAAGTATTAATTCTAAGAGCATCTACTTAATTCATGTGAATTTTCTGGTACTATCATTTTGTTGTTTTACATTTATACCATGGCCCAACAGAAGAGATTCCAACCAAGCAGCAGGCAGGACAAATAATCTATAATTTTCCAATAAAACAAAAACAAAGCTTTCTTTATGCAATTTACAAAAGAACAGCTTAATGTCAAGTTGCCACAGAGATCTCATATTGGACAATTTTAGCCTTTGGGAAAAAAGAAGACAAACTTAGAAAATATTGTAAGATTCATTTCTAGAAAAAGTAGAAAGATTAATGAAATAATATTAACATTTGACAAGGAATAAAGATTGTTTATTTGATGCCAATATAGCTAAAATTCAATTACCCTTCATGCAAGTTCTTTGCCATTATCATTATCATTCAGGATAGCTTTTTTAAAAATGCCTATAAGCATATCAAATTATTGTTCTGAAAGGTTTTTTTATCTATTTCAGATGAAAATTCTATTCCACTGAAATAGTCTATCCATAGCCTATTTCTTCATAAACTCACCAAAATGCAACACCAGTTATATAGTCTAGTAATCATCCTACTTCTTACCAAGTATTTCATGGTTCATAGTTATAAGGAATTGAATCCTGAAAAAAAAAATTTCTGACACTGTATAATAGAACTCAACTGGCTTTCCCCACTTCTTGGTCCTTAAGAATAGCTCCCTTTCCTCCCTCGGCCACTGAGACAAAAGTAGCAAACTAAAGCTTCATGTGAGAGAAATAAAGTGAAATGGTATAAAGTCTGTGAAAAGCCTGATTGCTTGTAGAATTTTTCACTAGAGTGAAAAAGCTAAACAGCACATGAGCCTAAGAGAGTTTGTACTGGAAGGTTTTAGTTTAATAGGACAGAGAGCAATATGCTATATTTGACAGCTCAAAGATTTTTTTAATTGTAATCAGTAAGATTATCCTTCATAAACAAATGCTAAGTCATGGCATGTGTTACACCACAATATGGGAGATCAAGCTGTCTTTTAGCCTCTACTCTGTGGAAAAGCAAGTTCAAATTACCCCCGATCCCACTCAACCTTGTCCGCCATTAAATATGACAATACATGATAGAATGGATGTAAATGTGACCCTTCTGGATCTGTCACTCACGGGGATAAAAGGTTCACTGATGTGCCAAATAAACAGCCCCGTCAAAGCAGATAAAGTTACAGCCATGCTGGAATTGTTACACTCTCCTATCAGGTTGCCAGTAACAGCAGATTTCATTACGGTGTGCTGCCACATTAAATAGCCAGTTCCAAATATCCTGCCTTCTATATTGAATAATTACTTATTCACTGAAAGGATAAAAAGAGGAGTTATGAATGGGGCTCTTGTCAGCAGTGAGGCAGGAAACAGCTGACATGTGGTGTATGTTACATATGTGGCAATATCCAACTCAGTTTATGGTCACACAGAAAACTGGAATGCAAATTATATCATGATATTTCTGACCAAATTCTTTTTCTCTCTTTGAAATGATCAACTAATTAACATACTAAAAGAATTACTGTAACTTTAAGCAGTAGAATCAGTTTACTTTTTCATACAGCAGACTTTCAAGTCTATACTTAATCTTTTCACTTAATTTAGCTTTCCCTGTTCACACTATAGCAAAATTCATCCTTCATGGGAGAAAAGGCATAGGCCCCCATGTTTCATTAAATGCAAAGAGTAAATATTACATCGGAACACAAAGGTAATCTAGTACAGCAGTGCTTTCCCAGGGCATACAGATATTAGCTATTTGATACAATTCTTTCAACAACAGCCAAACTTGTTATAATTTTCTTGCCACATACTTTGCATTTCAACTTTTATTTCAATTTATTTTTTTTTAAAGGTAAGTGTTGGCACTCACAGTGGTGAGATTATACTTTGGGGGCTGATTAAGTGTTTAGCTGCTGAAGGCTTCAAAAGACTCAAAGTTTAGAACTAACTTCAAAAAAAACCACTACCCTCACTACACTAGTTTTTAATTTTAAGGGTGTGATATTTTGTTGTTTTTTTTAAACATATGCTGCATCATGGAGGATGTTATAAAAATGGCTAGTTCTATACCTCTCAGCAAAAACGTGTTCTTTACAGGGGCTCTGCTGCAGTTTAACATGTTAGAACAATAGGGAAATTCCTTAGAATGGTACAGTGAGTGAGGAGTGGAAACAGAAAGCAGGAGAGTTTCCTCGTTTACATTCTTAAAGAACAATTCCTTTCTCAACACATACATTCCTACTCAAGGCTACACTTAAACTCTTTGGTATACACCACCACAATAGCGATGGAGCTACAAACTGGTCAAACCATTCTGGAATCATGTGAACCAATCTAGAACCAAATTAGAATTATGTGAAAAAAGTGATTCAATGTAACCCTTGACCAAGATATCCACTCTGCGCACATACCTCAAGGAGGTCAAAGACAAAAAGAAAGATATCACATTTACTAAAATACTCCTAGTAGCACTTTTTGTAGTAGCAATGAATTGGAAATAGAGTGGGTGGCCATTACTGAGGAATGACTAAACAAATAGTGACATACGCATGTAATGCAATATTCCATGCACTGTAAAAAATGATGAATAAGAGGAATTCAGAAAAACATGGAAGGACATTTATGAATTGATAGCGTTGTATACAGAAGAGTAAAATACACGATGATTACAACATAAATTAAAAGAATAACATAATGAAATGGAATGCCACGTAATCATAATAACCAATCCTAGCCCCAGGAAGATCACAACTAGCACCTACTTACCTTTTCTTGGAGAAGTGGGGTGGGAAAGGTTCTGGCTATGTAATGTTGCATGTATTATCAGACATGGTCAACATCTCTGATGATTTTGCTTAACCTATTTTTTTCCATTGTTACAAGGGGAGCTTCATTTGGGTTGGGAGGATGGGGGAAGAATGATGGAGTATATCTAGACTTGTGATAAATATTTAAACAAATAAATACATATGATATGTGGCCATGTATATTTAGGTAGTACTTTATAGTACTCTATATCATACTGGTCCAAAAATAGGCCACCAGCTAAAAATGTGATTTTTAAACAGTTATATACGCACATGTATGTACTGATACGTGTGTATACACATATATATACACACATACATACACACACAGGGAGAAGATACATGTGCTGTTATGGCATATATGTGCATATATAGATGTATATGTACATTATACATGTATATATCTTATTCTTTTGTGTGTATCTATTTCCTTTTTCCATGTATATATATACAAACACACATATAGACAAATATATGCAAATATACACTTTAAAATTTATAAATTACTATTTAAATACATATTTACTGCTTTTCTTTGCATCTCTTGAGTCAAAATAATTTGTATCATCATAGTTCTGTCATTTTTGTTGCCATTCTCTTAGTTTTTGCATAAGCAAGACTTGAAGGGAAAGTGTGGCTTCTATTTGGAAGAACATGGCAATTATTATTAATGTGAGATGGAACATGGAAAGAAATGAGTGTTTCAGGTAATACAGAGGTATCAGAAAATGTTACTAATTGTTGCAAAAGGCAGTATTAAAATCAGTGACTTTCAAGATTGCAGAAAAGTAGGCAGGGGCCTTGGCGAAAAATAGTAGTCAGCAGGAATCCCAATCCATTCAAGAGGCTAAGACTTATATATAGACTGCCTCTGGTCCAGGAGTCTGACACCAATAAGCACTAGACGAAGTTACTATTTTTCTTAGCCATTGGGCACAGAGGCAAATTAACATGTAAGCTGGTTTGTCTGTTCTAAGGGGACAAAATTCTCAACCAGCCTTCTTCTGATAAACATACTGTTACTATATGAGGCAGCTAAAGAAAGATATTGAAATTATTCATTCACAGCAAATTTAGCTCTAGGTCAAGTCAGATAAACACAAAGGCCTCCCAATAACTTGCAATTTCTAGGAGCCGCATGTGGCTGCACTGGCTGGCAGAATCTGACTTGACTCTGGAAGGCTGCTTTTTTTTCTCACAACCAAAGAATTTCTATTTCAATCAAAGGCAGGGAAACTCAAGCTGATCTTTTAAAGTGAGTCAGCAAAAAAGCTGCCTGTGAGTATGACCGTTGTGTTGACTTAAATAGGCAGAAACCAATGATTTAAAATCATGGTTCAAACAAATCCTCAGCAGCTAAAAATTCATCTTGGAATGTCAGCTACCAAAAAGATTCAAATGCAATTTCCTTCACTTTTGATCTCTTACCTTTACAGCACCATGGAAGCATAATAGTATACTGGAACAAAAATAACCTGATTCAAAGCCTTTCCCTACCCATGCGAAGTTGGGCATGTCAATTAATCTCTCGAAACCCTACTTTTCTAATCTACAAAATGGAGACGTGCACCTCCTTCTTCACAGGTTTCTCATAAAGATCAAATGAGATGAGTATTAAATGTTTTGCAAACCTTAAAACCCTACGTAACATAGAAATGTTTTCCATGACTTCACATGTATAATGGGTATGAATTTTTCTTGCCTTCTTGATGGCAGGGGGAGGAAGTAAAGGGAGACAAAAATCTGGAACCAAAAATAAAAATAAAATTAAAAGTATACATAAGTGTACATTACTGCTGTTGGTGCTGCTGCTACTACTA